TAATACATATATATATATATATATATATATATATATATATATATGAACAATTTTACTAACTTTCATTTTGTGTATGGTTGACCTGCAGCAATGAAATAGAGTAATAGATAGATCTGCTATAATGGAGTGAAGGAGTCAGAAGATCCCTCCTGGCCCATGGATGGACATGATCTTTGAAGATGACAGAGTATATAGGATGTGAAGTCTACCCGAAGACAGACACCACTGCCAAACTTCATGAGTGCGTCACACGGATGATGCACTCATGGTGATACAGCAGATTTTATCACTCATACTCCTATTACTCCTCACCTTTGCTACTCTAATTGAGCCCAATAAACTCATTGGTTGACCAAGTTGGAAATATATACAAATCTCCCTTTAGTATCTCCTTGATTGGTCCATGATTACTCAGCAAAGGTATAGCCAAGACACTTAGAGAAAACTAAAACACTATCATTTTCAAACAGAAAATTAACTACATTTGAAATACAAATCTGCAATGATTGTTCTCTAAATATGAACTCATTTACATAATGGTATTTCAAAGTACTATAACAATGATAATTTTTCTTCTCCAACTATGTAATATCAGCACTTATAATTTTCCTTCACATGAGAGATATTTCCATCCTCATCAATCTGCCTCGTATACACTTAGTCACAGGCTGTAGATTCTGCAGTCCTGCTCCTCATTGTCACTTCTCATTAATAGATTGGTTATGTCACTGTCATTCTATGACTTCTCACTGTCATTTTACTGCAGGGGTTCATTATTTCTAATTGCTATTTTATGCCACTCTTTGATCCATCAGTTTTTAATGTTCCACTTAATTGACTCCTTTGTTTAAATGATGTGAAGAAAGCTGCATATAAATTTATCATTTATCTGATGAGATCTGATAAAAGAAGGTTTAATTTGATCGTACCATTCCTGGATAGAGAAAATAAGGCAATATTTTGTGCATTCTATTTATGTGTTTATCATATCACAAGTAATCATATGACCTTCTGAAATTACCTTCAAAAGCTTTGCAAAATGTAAGAGGATGCTGTATTTGTTTGTGGTGAACAGTTGTATTATGGTCCTTAGTGTTTAAATCTAAAATATTCACATAGAAGCATCTTTAAATATTATATCTGTAGTTTCTCTGATAACATTTAATTAAGCAAAAATAAATATATAAAATATAAGTGTAAAATATCATAATATGTCATGTAAAATTTCTGCTACACAAATTTACAAAAGAAAATTTAAATCTAATTTCTATAGTATTTGCTATAATTTTTCATAAATTTATTTTACAATATTTATTAAGTTACCAGTTGTTCAATCCATTATTACAAGTACCAGACATTGAGAGGTATACAAAGCAAAGTCTGTGAAACGTAAGTCAAAAATTAATATATTAGGTAAATACTAAGTACTATAAAGAAACAAAGGAAGGAGAATGTAGAGTGAGGAAATTATCATAAACATGACAGATAAGAACAAGGTTTTAAAATACAAACAGAAACTTGTTGCTAAAATACTTTTAATGCAATTAAAATGATACATTCTTTTTCATGTCAACAATCTAAATCATGACATATTAAAATGTACCAAGTTGATCATCATAAAATCAATAGCCTTGCTCTGCCTTAGAACAGATGGCATTGAAATATACACACTGCACACCTGCTCTTTTACTCCAAAGGAAAAAAATATGATGAAAAATAACTCTTTGCATGATATTGTCATGCCAATGGAATTGAACAATGTTTTACATTGCAGTAACTATGAAATAATGCCATGCATTTTCTCCCTTTCATATCGTATCCTTCAGATTGCAGTACGCCTGCTCTACTCCTAAAAGATTGGAGACTTCCAGCTGCTCTTAACCTAATGAAGGGAGCCTACTATAGAACAGAATCAACCCCTTCAGGAAGCCTTTTTTTCTCCTCGGGTAACCACCTAGCTAATGACAATACTACTTAATACAATTATATAGAGATATTAAAACTCCAGAGTTTAAAATGAAATCTTATTTTGCATATGGAAGAAAGTCCAACACTCCGGGCAAAGCAATATCTCTTCATTTATAGAGCATACTTAAGCTCTTCCAGTGATAATTTCTTTAGTTTTCATTCAATGCAATTTAGATAAACTTTCTTCTTTAAAAGTTCATTATGCCCAGAGAACATTGGCACACACATCTCATTCTTGACTTCATGCCTCTCTTTAGGTCCCTGCCATGCTAGCTTCTTTGGTCCTCATGTCTACTAATCCACAATGCCTACCCTCCACAAACTCTGTAGCCCCAGTCTATAGATTCTCTGACTGAGAACACTTCACCATAGGCTGAGAATGTCCTTAAATAGACAAGGATGCTAATGAAAAAGCTCACTGAATGTTGTATTCTCTAAAGATCAATTTTCTTTAGTGATAATTTTAATGATTCTAAATTTAAAATTTGTTAATTATATTTTATTTATAAATAATATTTTTATAATTTTTAGAAAAATGCTTCTATAAATTTTAAAAAATCATATTTTATAATTTGTGGATAATTTTTGCAATAGTGTTGAGTCCATGTCTGACTGTGCATAAAAATATTTTAGAATCTTTTGAAATTTTTATAACTTAATGTCTCCTATTAAATATACTTTAAAATTATTGTGATAAATAAACTAATATATATACTCTAAGAAATGTGGGACAAATTTCCAGTGATTTAAAAGAGATGATTTATTTCCTTCTCACAAAGTTCTAGAACCAAAAATTTCAGGGTAACAAGAAGCAAATTCAATATAACAATGGCCAAAATATAGTCATCCATGGTTTTAAAATCTTATTGTTAATAAGATTTGTACTGAAATAATTTCTCTATAGTAACTTGATCATGAAGCATAACACATATATCACTGTATACATTTCATCTCCTTTAATTTCAATAGAAATAGAAACCTTTTTTTCTAAGTCAAGCACCTCAATTTTCTTTAAGAAATGTCTAATAGTACTTAATTGATAAATATGGAAATAGAAGACAATTTATCCTTCCACTGCAGACAAACTAACTTCATACAGTAGGATACAACTCTGTTAAGTAAGAATAAGTAAATCCAACATTATTATAATTAATTACAACTAGAGAAACGAGCTTCCCAGTAGAAAAGACTTATTCAGCACACATCTTACTGAAATAAAATAACACTCAGCTCCCTCAACAGATCCAAAGGGAAAGCAAAACAATTGCCACGGTGTACCTGATGCCAAAATGGAGACAGAAAAAGCTCAGTAAAAATTGTAAAAGCATTGGAGCTTCAGTTTGTAAATTAAATGTGCTGTCCACCTACCCCATTCCAATCCATTTCTGGCCATGATCATTTTAGATGAATTTCTGTAATATCCTTCCTTCTATTCTCAATTCCTGAACTTCACACTTCCAAATTGCTTTCCAAACTTCTGCCAGACTAATTTTCACAGGGCCGTCTTCCACGACATCATGTCCTCTGACCAAGGATCCAGGATTGATCGTCTGATTTTACTGCCACCACTCATTGAAACCCACTACCTACACAGAAGGTTATTATCCAGCTCCATTCCGCATGGCCCTTTCATCCTCTCCAAACTGAACCATTAATCCACTCAAGCCAGACTTCATTTGGCAGCCATTTGCATCATCCAAAGGCATATTTGTTCATTTATTGACTAGCCAATAGGCACCCCTGATATTCACACAAAACCTCATCCAATTCTGAGATGCCACTTTGGTATTTTTTCACAAAACATATGAAGGTGGAATCATCGATGCTCTAAACAAACATTCAGGGTTTTTTTCTTTTGTTTTCCGTTGTCTACTGTGTCCCTAAACATAAATGTGATTTAGCAAAGTATGGTATATTACACTTCTGAGCCAACAGTGTTTAGCCAATGCCTCAGAAACCAATCCTCTCATTTACCCTCTCTTCAGTTTGCTGACAAACTTTCATCATGCTTTGGAGAAAGCACAAGCCAAGAAGCAAACCCCTATTGCCCTGCATTTCAATCATTCAGGTCTCTTTGTTTACACTGTCTTTCAACATTACTTTCTTTAATCTGCTACACTCTGGCCATTCAGCAGTTCTGACTAATCATCACCCTCAATAATTCCAGGTTGTTTCAATATTTCAAAAGATAAAAGATGAAGCGAATAACCTCAGCAGTTTTCTACAAGGTTATTTGTAAAATAAACAAATGAAGATCAAAGCCTGATTTTCTCTCAGTGTTTCTAGCTGTTCATTCAACATTGAATGATCACAAGCTGCCCATACCTCCATCCACCTCGCTCTTCCATTAGATTTTCTTATTTATGCTGTCTTATTCATATTGACTACTTTTTGTGATAATAGAGTGAGAGGTAACCCTTTTGCATAAAAGAATTCCAGAAAAATGTTGACTCAAGGGTGGTGGGTGACCACAACACAGCAGTATTTTGGGAAACAACACAAGAGTTGTGCATATGAAATGACATCTGTTGTGACTGTATGCACAAGACCAATATGACAGGAACACAGAAAAATAACAGCATGGATCTGGAAGATGGTCAAATGTCTATTTGCAGAGCTATTGGCAATTGAGGAATATCTTGAAAGAATGAGTCCATTTTCTTCTAAGATAAAGCCACTAAGAGGCTACCCATACACCAGAACAGGACAGGAACACACATAATGGAAGTGCAGAGTGGCCTCAGTGGGCAAGGAGGGGGAGCTCATGAATTTGGGAAAGAAGACTAAGGAGGGGGATGGAAGAATTACAGTAGAGGGATTGGGAGTACACTTGAAACTTTAAGTTTACTTTAGATATATAATATAATACAATATAATATGATAACATTTCTTCACTCACTTTCCTCTCTTCAAACCTTCACATATTATCCTCCTGTTCTTCAAACTCCTGGCCTTTTTTCTCACCAATTATTATTGCATTCAATAATGTGTGTGTGTGTGTGTGTGTGTGTGTGTGTGTGTGTGTGTGTGTGTGTGTGTGTGTGTGTGTGTCAGAGAGAATATATATTAACAAATATATCTTTTATAGTCCAGATGTTATATAAATGTATGATTTTCATTAACTTAATTGAAAACACTATAAAGCATAAATTCATATTTTAAAATGGCATTGTAAAATCACACAAATAAAGTACATTGCCTGTTCGATACCATTTTGCTTTCTCCATATTTGCTGTTTACAAGTTTTACTCATTTATTAGATTTTTCCCAACATTTTCTCATTGTTATGCTATAATTTACTTAATCACTAATTTTATACTTTTATTTTCAATTTTCATTTCTTTTATAAACGAAGACCCTAACACTCTACTTTGGATATGAGAGATGATTATTAATATTT